TGTAAGTGAGTTGACCTTTTATCCTTTTAACTTTTTATTTGAACATTCGGAATTATTCAGTAGATGAATCTTGTCATAAAATCTCATTTGTGTACATTTTCCAAGCACATGGCGTGAACAATCATCTGCAAAACATTTGCCATTGTTCTTTTAGATTTATAAATCTGTTCATCAATTTTTGTTCAACATGTCAAATTTTTTCTAACAAACAGATTGAGTAAAAAAAGGTGCATATATAGTCAATGGAATTTTCCACTTGATGAGTAATATGGTACTGTACAGGTATTTTTTCTTACAGCAGATACAGGGAAACCTAGTTTGAAATTTATTTGATGGATGTGAGGATTTTGACTCTCCTCATTGAAGAGACACATTTTATGTAAATTTCGACATCCTTTCAGCTTGCACTTCCTGCAGGAATTTTCATGATGCAATCTATGTAAAATTATTTTTCATCGCATATATGTTCCATATTTAATTAAACTAATGAATCATGCAATAAAAAGGAAAGGGAAAAGTAGGAATTGTCATTTTTTAGCTGAAATTCTTCTGAATAAAATTTCTCACGCATTCATAATTAATTTCGATATGCCTTGAGGGTTTTGCTCGAGTCAAGTTCGTTGTTCGAGGCAAAATGGTGGACAAACATGGGTCTTCAACGCAAGAAGTTCGCTTATTCGGGCATTTGTTACCTAAGTCCCCACTTTATTCGATTGTCAGATAATCTGAACGACAAACTATAAATCGGAAAGGATTCCGCCTGTTCAGACAGGCAACACTTTTAAATGGATGCGGGATTAATTCATTCATCCAATTTGTCTTCTTCAAACAGTTCCCAAACCAGGTGAGATCTTCGCCACTCCCCAATTCAACACCCCAAAGGCGTGCAATCAAGTCGGAATTACATACATGAACCACTAATATGACCTGGCGATCCCCGTGATGCGCGACTTACACGCGATCCACGCCAGTGGGTGGTGTCGCCCCCTCCTCCTTCTCTTCCGATGCATCCCATTTTTAAAAACAAACAAAAATAATAAGAAATGCACTTCAAGTCCTGACAGACTTCTAGGCTCGTTGAACAGGTACAGAAATATTGACCGCAATATTGATACAGGGAGACGCCAAGATGCGGACATAATTAGTGCTTGAACGGTGTCCATATGTCGGAATTTACACATGTTGGACCTTGTTTTCCCATAGACTTCAATGGGAACTCATTTAATTGGTTCTCCAGCTCATGAAAAATTGGGAATAAATCCCAAAAAAAGCAATGTGTTTTTCAACTTGAAGATACACAAATACATGTAACTTTTTAGAATGAAGAAACCCACACAGAATATGATCCATGGGCATGGGAAGAACTCAAAAATACAAACAAAAAGTATCAGTCTTGCTATCCTGTGCAGCACAGATGGAGCATGTTAAAAAAGAAACACAAAATTAACCTGTGTTTGATTATAAATTCAAATATAATTATAATCATGTTCATTTTAACTTCTTTTAACATAAATAGCTCACTTTTTCAAGAGATAGTCAAATTTTGAAATATTCTAGAAATGCTGAAAAAGTGTCCATATGTTGAGAAATTTCCTGATGTTGGGTCCAATTTTTTGAATTTTCAAGTGTCTCCAAGTCAAATCGTCCGTATGTTGGGGTGTCCGCATTTCGGGGTCTCACTGTGCACTGTGTGAGGAAAAAAGGTGGACTCTTGTCCAAGCAAGTCCGAGAGAACACCGGAGGCCTCATTACCGGAGGTACAGGGAATGAGGTTCCACTAGTGGGTTTTTGTTAGAAGTGTCAGCCTTTTACATGCGTTTTGGAAGCGAAATTCGCACATAATTCATTTTCAATAGTGCCCCAATTGAAATTTTGAACTATCTCCTGCCAATAAATCAGAAAAATGGGGCTCAGCCGGGATTTGAACCCGGGACCTCCTGCACCCAAAGCAGGAATCATACCCCTAGACCACTGAGCCAACCATGAAGAAATGAAAGATATTTAATAAAATTTCATTTCTTAACCAGAAATGAAAATCTGCTGACGGTGCAAAACAGATCGGTTTTATGAGGTGATATAATTCACAGTACAATATTGCAGTGCCTACTGTACAGACAAGGTTCCTTCTAATCTCTTGCATGCAAAGGGTTATTTGTTAGCAAGTTTGTGCATGAAAAGGTTGAAGACGTTTGTGCTCGTTTCATGTACAAAAATGAAAAAGAAATTTGAAGATAATTTAACATTTATAAAATGAATGTGTAAGTTCTGGAAAATCTAGATATCCAATATAGACTCTGGGACACAAAATCGAGTCATGCAAAGCTGGCCTTTTATCAAACTTTTGTAAGGGTTTTAATAAATAATGAATCCTTGAAAAAAATTCCTGTTCAATCAACTTTGTTCTCCTTAGAAGTAAAATTTAACATAAGCATTCAAAAAAATTTAGTAGATTAAAAAATTAATCTAAAAAACCACGTTTTCAAAAAGCAAAAAATAACCTTAAACGTGGTGCGCATGGAGATTGTTGGGAAGAAGTGAAATACAAATGAAATAGATGCGCACCACGTTTAAGGTTATTTTTTGCTTTTTGAAAACGTGGTTTTTTAGATTGCTTTTTTAATCTAATAAATTTTTTTGTGCTTTTTAGTCTTACTTGAAAAATGTGGTTTTTTAGATTAATTTTTTAATCTACTATAATTATTTTATTCTTTTTAAAAAATATTCTTATAATTATTCTTTTCACAAAAGATTGCATTGTCATCAGTTTCTAAGTTATCCTGAAAGTTTCAGCTTGCTAGCTAGTCGGGAAGTGAGCAAAATTTGAGTTGCAAAATTTGATCCGGACAAACAGACGGACAAGAAAGCAAGTTAATAAAAACGTGTTAAAATACTTCCCAGCCCAAATGAATATCCTTCCTTACAATCAGAATAAATGACCAATAAAATCGATCGCCTATCAATTCATGAAGAATTGCTGAATTCTTGTCAATTCAAAATACATTCACGAGAAATATAACACAATGCTAAAATTGCTGAGGTTTGAATTGGACACATAAGCATGGAAAAGAAATGAACATAAATCTCACTGTAAAACAGATCGTATTCGAATCAAAAACGTGAGAGACAAAAATAGTTTATAGTTTTACAGCTTCGAGATAGTCTGAAAACGCTTTGCATTGATTCTTTCGGAACATTGCTTTATTCGAGAAAGATACAACTAATTCGATTCTTTTTTCTCAATTGAGGCATGGATAAAAGTTTTCCAAATTACGTTTTCTGGACGCCAACCTGAAGATCTTTCTTGATCAACAACTTTGGGTTGAAACCAAGATTTGTCTGATGTGTGAATGGAATTTGTTGGAATTAAATGGTTGAATCGGCAACCAGTTGATCCCAACTAATCCCATTTACACAGCAGAATCCAGGGACAATGCTTCAAGACTTTGAATTGGCATCATGAACCCAGAGTTTGCGAGGAAAGTCTTGGTCTCAAATTTTGGATTGGTGACCACCATAGCCTGAAACGCAAATAATTTTCTTGCCGTTAATTTTTATGCAGTATTATTAGAATTTGAATGATGCATAGAAGAATTCTATTCAAGTGCACGATATTTTGACTGAAAAATTGTTGAACCAATGAATTTCTGGTCAACGTAAATACGAGAGTGCCGTCCATAAGCTTCTGATTTTGGACTTCTGTTCAGGAAATTTCAAGTAGGTAATGAAACGAAGTGCCGAATGACACTAATCTGCTGACCCCCAACTGCCGTTTCTTGTAAACTCTGAATGAATTCTTTTTGGAATGCATTTTCAACAAATAAACACAACCAGATGATGCTGATGCAGTAAAGCATTTCGATTCTCTGCCAACTTCCCGGGAAACTTACATCAAGTGTGCTACAGTTCCTATTCGCGGAAACAGAACCGTTTGACTGGAAATCAATCTTTAACAAAGATTCGTAATATTTTTGGCTTCATCAGGATTTATTCAGTCAAAGCAACGCGTTTTGGTCTGTACAAAAAACCCGCATCAACAAGAAAGCACCACTTGATATCGACTCTTAAACGCGTTGTTGTCATTTTGTGTTGCATTATACCGGAGATTTCCATCCTATTCCATTCAAATTGACCAATTTTTGCAAGAAATAAAAAACCAATTGAAAAGCTTGCAATTGCCCATGCCAATTTTTTTTTCCCTCCTGAAAAATCAAGGGTCAACCCATAAGCTGAAATATTGTCTAGGGTTGGGAATCCCCCGATTTGGGACACACTTAGATTTTCCATGAATACCGGTTTCCTGTAATTATTCTTTGAATGCATTGGATATTTTCGAAGCAATGTGAATCATCTCCAGAATCATTATACAGTATCATCATCTCTACATTCTCCAGAATTAATGAAAAACTTGCAATTGCAAGTTCTTTAATTGTTTTTTTTTTTTGGTTGCAGAAAATGGTTAATGTGAATGGAATATGTTGGAAATCTCCGGTATCATCCCACACAAAATGACATCGCGAGGCCCTCAAAAAGGGGGCCGACAGGTGGCGAACCCGCCTCTCTGGTCCCGCCTACCAACCGGCCACACGAAACGCAACCCGGGTTCGCTTCGATTGGGTGCCGATCGACTTCTCCGCCTCCCTCCCGCCGCCGGAAACAAATTGCGCCTTTCTTGCACAAGCATCGAAACCCGAAAAAAACACACACACACACACACACCCGCTCATACATGGAAAGGGACCCCACAATAAAGAAGAAAACAACAACAAAACCCACCGGTGGAACCCAACTTCTTATCCCCTGTACCTCCGGTAACGAGGCCTCAGTTGTTCACTCGGCCTTGCTTGGACCAGAGTCAACCTTTTTTCCTTGCTGGGAAGGGATTGGAAAGAAGAAGAAAAAAAAAAGATTCACCGATCGGTTATTTGAACAGAAAATAACACTTTTTGAAATTTATCTTTTGTGCAGATATCCGTGGTAGATTTTTCCCGAGTGTCTGGCAAATGCTTGAAGATAAATCCTCAGTGATGACTACTGCTGTGTTGAATCCTTGCGAACCGCCGCCGGGACTCAGGCTCGAGTTTTCCGTTTACCATCCTCATCAGTACGCTTCTCCTGCTCCACCTCCTCCCCAGGTTAGTTCACCAGAATGAAAAAAATGATGAAATGATTTACATTGCTTCGAAAATGTCGAAGTGTATTCAAAGAATTAAGTACAGAATATTTCTGGAAACCGGAATTGGGGGATCCCAAACACCAACCGTATCAATCGTCTGGCGACAAGAATGTATCGTCTCTCTGCTAAAAATCTGTAAAATGAAATTATATTTTTGAGTTTCTGATTCTTATTCAAAGATCTCTTCACGAAGCATATCTTTATCACCCCCCCAAGTATTCGTATTTTAAAGAAGGATTGTCATTTTTAATACAGTATTCCTTGCAATGATGATGAAATATCCGAACTTGAATTCACCAAAAAAGGAAAGCTCGAGAACTTTTAATTCACAAAGAAAAAGTCTTCATAAAAGATGTCTAGATCATTATGTGTTCCAAGATTTTCATAAAATTCTGTTTCATGTCATAAAAGGTATACAGTTCTCTATACAAAATGAGCTCTCAGTTCAAGATCGAGATGCTTTCATGCTAGATCTGCGAGAAAAGAACTCCTGCGTAATTATTAATATTAAATTAACGTATACGAGTTTGACTTGAATTTTCAATAATGAATGCTTTTTTGAAGTAACTGAAAATAAAATACGAAGTCAGCATGTTCGGCCTGATGCATTACCAATATTTTATTTTAAAAAATGTCAGAAGCCCACTTGACTTTGTTGAAGCTGAATACACACTTGCTTGGGAATCAAAAACTTCTTTAAAATTTCAAACGAAATGAAAATTTTAATGTGTTTGGGAAGAAAGCAAAATTCCTTCTGAAAACGTAAGCATAAAGGCACAATGAGACACAGAAAAGTTTATTGGAAAACATGCAAACAGTTGAGAATTGTATTTCTTCTTTGTTTTAGAAGCCAATGCCTCATTATCAGTATCCAGCCCTGCAACCCCATCACCATCTGAACCATCATCACCTGGAAGCCAGTAGCTTTCCGACACACTCATGGGGCATGTGGGCACCGCAAGTGCCTCAGTTGACACCACCCGAAACCAGTCCCACCCAGGGCGCCACTTTCCCAACTGATGCGCTCCTGCACCATATTCCAGCACCACCCGCTCCACAAACAGCCCCAGCCACCACTTACTTCCCACTCACACCACCCACTGTAACTGCTGAGCAGCACACTTACCTGGACTGCCACCAAATGTTCACCAACAACCAGCACCACTGGATGCAGCAACAACATCAGCACCAACAGCACCACCACCAGCAGCAACAAACTCAGCCACCACAGCAACCAGAGTCGTGGTATCCTGCACCTCCTTATCCTGGTTGCTGGCCGCAAGCAGAAGCGCCCTCTGTGCCTGCAAAAGCCAAAGCTGACGCACCTGCTTGCACGTCCTCAGTAGCAGCGACATCTAGGTCCTGCCGCCGATGCCGGTGTCCGAATTGCGTGGAGGCCAGTGCAACTGGAGAGAAGCGTAAGATCCACGTGTGTCATTTCCCGGGCTGCGATAAGGCGTACAGCAAGACGTCGCATCTCAAGGCTCACCTAAGGTGGCACCTCGGCGACAAACCGTATGCGTGTCACTGGATGTACTGCAATCGAAGGTTCACGAGGGCTGATGAGTTGCAGCGACATCTGAGAACCCACACGGGCGAAAAGAGGTTTGCGTGTGCCACGTGTGACAAGAAGTTCACCAGGTCTGACCACTTGAGCAAGCATTTGAAGACGCATTCAGGTTCGACCGGTGCTAAAACACCGTCCAGTGACTCGAATGACTCATTTTAAAGAGAATGAATGAAACGAGGAGTTGATTGAGAAGATGGGTGAAAAGGAAACAGCGATTTTCGCTATTTTCATGCAAAAAATGTGTTGTCCGAAAACGGGTTTTATAGTTGTGCCATCTAAGCAATTTTTGCCGCGTTCCAGAGTCAAGTGATGCTTTCTTGTTGATGCGGGTTTTTTGTACAGACCAAAACGCGTTGCTTTGACTGAATAAATCCTGATGAAGCCAAAAATATTCCTAATCTTTGTTAAAGATTTATTTCCAGTCAAACGGTTCTGTTTCCGCAAATAGGAACTGTAGCACACTTGATGTAAGTTTCCCTGGAAGTTGGCAGAGAATCGAAATACTGTACTGCATCAGCATCTGGTTGAGTTTATTTGTTGAAAATTCATTCCAATAAGAATTCATTCAGAGTTTACAAGAAACTGCAGTTGGAGGTCAGCAGATTAGTATCATTCGGCACTTCGTTTCATTACCTACTTGAAATTTCCTGGAAAGAATTATAATATCAGAAAGGTGTAAAATTTCCTGAACGGAAGTCAAAAATCAGAAGCTTATGGACGGCACTCTTGTATTTACGTTGGCCAGAAATTAATAGGTTCAACAATTTTTCAGTCAAAATCTCGTGCACTTGAATAGCATTCTTCTATGCATCTTTAAAATTATAATACTGCTGCATAAAAATTAACGTCAAGAAAATTATTTGCGTTTCAGGCTATGGTGGTCACCAATCCAAAGTCTTGAAGCATTGTCCCTGGGTTGTGCTGTGTGAATGGGATTAGTTGGGATCAACTGGTTGCCGATTCAACCATTTGATTCCAACAAATTCCATTCACACATCAGACAAATCTTGGTTTCAACCCAAAGTTGGTGATCGTAGAAAGATCTTCAGGTTGGCGTCCAGAAAACGTAATTTGGAAAACTTTTATCCATGCCTCAATTGAGAAAAAAAATCGAATTAGTTGTATCTTTCTCGAATAAAGCAATGTTCCGAAAGAATCAATGCAAAGCGTTTTCAGACTATCTCGAAGCTGTAAAACTATAAACTATTTTTGTCTCTCACGTTTTTGATTCGAATACGATCTGTTTTACAGTGAGATTTATGTTCATTTCTTTTCCATGCTTATGTGTCCAATTCAAACCTCAGCAATTTTAGCATTGTGTTATATTTCTCGTGAATGTATTTTGAATTGACAAGAATTCAGCAATTCTTCATGAATTGATAGGCAATCGATTTTATTGGTCATTTATTCAGATTGTAAGGAAGGATATTCATTTGGGCTGGGAAGTATTTTACTTCTAAGGAGAACGAAGTTGATTGAACAGGAATTTTTTTCAAGGATTCATGATTTATTAAAACCCTTACAAAAGTTTGATAAAAGGCCAGCTTTGCATGACTCGATTTTGTGTCCAAGAGTCTATATTGGATATCTAGATTTTCCAGAACATACACATTCATTTTATAAATGTTAAATTATGTTCAAATTTCTTTTTCATTTTTGTACATGAAACAAGCGCAAACGTCTTCAACCTTTTCATGCTAACACTTGCTAACAAATAAACCGTTACATGCAAGAGATTAGAAGGAACCTAGTCTGTACAGTAGGCACTGCAATATTATACTGTGAATTATATCACCTAATAAAACCGATCTGTTTTGCACCGTCAGCAGATTTTCATTTCTGGTTTAGAAATGAAATTTTATTAAATATCTTTCATTTCTTCATGGTTGGCTCAGTGGTCTAGGGGTATGATTCCTGCTTTGGGTGCAGGAGGTCCCGGGTTCAAATCCCGGCTGAGCCCAATTTTTCTGATTTATTGGCAGGAGATAGTTCAAAATTTCAATTGGGGCACTATTGAAAATGAATTATGTGCGAATTTCGCTTCCAAAACTCATGTAAAAGCCTGACACTTCTAACAAAAACCCAGGAGTGGAACCTTATTCCCTGCACCTCCGGTAACAAGGGCTCATGTGTTCTCTTGGCTTTGCTTGGACCAGAGTGTACCTTTTTCCTCACACAGTGTACAGTTAGACCCCGAAATGCGGACACCCCAACATCCAGACAATTTGACTTGGGTGTGGGGTCACGCTTCGTGGCGTGACCTGCTGAGCAAAGCGTCCTTGCTCAGGCATGCCAACACCGCAGGGCAAGAGAGGCACGCGCAGCAGAAACCCCGCTGCGCACCCAGTTTTCTGCATTGCAGTAAACCACGAATGACAACGAGATCATTCTGGCTGATTGGCACAGGTGCCATTTTTTATTCCGTTTTGCGGGATCGTAAGCAAAGCCAGGGAACACTGGCCGCCTCAATAAGAAAGGACCTAGGAGACTGTCTTGTGTGTGACTTGTTGGATATTGATTTGTGTGTCTTTAAAGGACTTGCTCTGGAATTCCCCTAAGGAGGATCCGGCCTCCTAAAGGCTGCTTTGGGCGTTTATTTTCATTACAACCTTTGTTGGATACCAGCCTTTTGTTGGATATATATTTGTTGGATTAGGGATTTAGAAATTTTAAAAATCAAATTCAATTCTTGACCTTTGTTATCTATGGAACCTCAACTCTGTGATTGTTGAAGTTTTTGTGCTGTTTGTTTCTCGGTAAAATACTCTGTGTTTCATGGCAATTCTTGAAGGATTCAAAGATCGTCCTTAAGAAAAGGAAAAGTTGTGCAGCTCTTCATGTTTTGGTCATCTACGTCAACATTTAAGCAGCGTTAAAAAAAAGAAAAAGTTCGGTGGAATATTTTCGGGGGCGGCCGGAAATATTGGTGCCGATTTCGCACGGATCCCATGTGAAATTACTACCCTTGCACTGTTTCTGCTTCCATTGTCTCGACCTTTTTTTGAATCTTTCTTTTTTGAGCAAGTTCAAGGGGCAAAAGTAGTGAGACAATGTGGCAATAGATGAGTTGGAGAGAATCCCGAAGATTTTTTTTTTTCGGAGCTGTCGGGTCGCACCAGGCCTGTAATCATGGTCGGGGGTTTCCTTTGGCGGGGAAAAAAACCCCGCGCCAATTTCCTTTTTCTTTTTGCGCAGTGCGTGCTGTGTGGGAGATAGCTCGCGGGGGTGGCTGGTGTCTGCAAAACGTTTTAGCGCCATTTTTCTCCAGCTTGGCGAGATGTTGGCGACGGATGAGCTTTTCCGAATTTTCCCGGCACAATCAATCTTGAACATTTCTTTCTTGCTCTTCTGTAGATTCAAACTCACGGCGTTTTTCAATAATATTTGAAAAGTCACGGGCGAATCCATATGATGAGCAAAAATTGAGCGAATTAAAAAGGTTCTTTAGAACGTGTGGAGCAGCAGTTTTGTTGCTTTCGGATTTAAAAAAAAAAAAGATTCCCTGCGTTGACCGTGATTTGTTTCCAGAAATAATTGAATTGGAAAACAAGTGTGCGAAATATATCTGACGCCACACGAAAATCTCACCTGCGTATCTTTGAAAATACGAACAGTTAATAAACTTTAGTTCTGTTCAAACATCATTTAATGCATCGCTTCAGTTGGTTTCTATCTTTTATACTCAGATTACCGGGGGTGCCGTAATACGTATATCACTCTCAATAATTTGCATTGTTTCAAGTCGAATATTTAGGATCCGTATACGCACTGTAAATGCGTTTTCCTCCCAAAATTTTCCAATTTTTGAAAATTCGTGCATGGTCTTACCTTCTGACTCCTCTCCTAGAGTCAAGTTGTAGCCCGTCAAACGCACGCAATCCATTTGTTCGTTAAACGAATACAGCGCCGATAAATCATTTCGAAAACCACAAAATGTGAAGAAAAACTTGGAATCAGGCGGTGAAAAAAAAACGAAATCGTTATTGAAGTTTGACGATTTGAAGGTGCCTGTATCCCTTGGAAATTCTCTGATCTGAATATCAGCCACTGAACTGTTCGGAGCTTCGTTTCTTTTAACGAATCGATTAATATGAAAAACACACGGTAATTGTTGGGAGCAATTCATGGGCAAGAATAAGCCGATTTATCTCTGATTCGTTAACTTGCATTTTTTGAATACTATAATCCTATTCTGAACAGTATTTACTAAAACGGATTACTCCTGAAGTTCAGTATCCTGGAATTTCTGCAAAACCTGCATGCGTCATACCTTGACTTGAGTGATCATGCTGAAATTTTGGCAAGGGTAAAGCTAAATACTCTAGTTCGAAGCCCGTTTTTATTTTCCAAATCGAAGATTTTTCGGCTCTTCCTCAATCACTTTCTCTCTGGTCCCTCCCAGTAGAAATTAGCCTGACGCATGGAAGGTCTATTGGGTGACAGGAACCCACCGGGAAGCCCCCTATCATTAGCTCTACTTTCATACCAGAGGAGTAAAAAAGGAAAACCTTGCAACCAGGGAAGCACAAGATATAGAAAACGCGGGAGACAAAAATAACGAGCCTGGAATAGGGGAAAAGAAGGCCTGAAGCGCCGTGATTGCCGGAAAGGCTTGTCGCAACCCAAACAAATTTTCTTTCCGGTTTATTTTTTGTTGGTGTCTTTTCTTTTCGGCTGGATGGTTTGGAACAGAACAGAACCCAACCGGCTCATGGTTAATGTCAGGGTTCCAGGTTCCTCCGGAAGTTTCGGACTGGGGGATCGTCGTTGGTTCCCTGATGATCACTGGTCCACGCCTCCGCATTCCTTTGGTTCTGTCAGAGAAAAAAGTTTATTAATCATTGTGACACGAGGATGGGACCAAAATGGCTCGTGACTCCAGAAACACTGTAGGTTGTATCTTAAAATGTGTGTGGTCTTTTCTGCAAACAAACCAACACGGAACAACTGAACACTGTGCTTGACAAGACAGATTCATTTCATGTGTACGATGAGGCCCCAAAATGTAGAATTACTGTACTTCTGAGACAGAGTCCATGTGTTGAATGGGCAGCATATTGGATCAAATTTCCACTTAGACTTCGAAGGGAAACGTTTCAATTCCTTCTCATGTCTGACAAAAAAAAAAATTAAATTCCAGAAAATATCAGATTATCAGA